AAGTTTTATATAAGAGGAATTATGACATGGTCTTGCTCAGATGTGTAGACAGACGTGAAGCAGACATGCTGATGCAAGAAGTACATGAAGGATCCTTTGGCACTCATGCCAACGGACATGCAATGGCTAGAAAGATGTTGAGAGCTAGTTACTATTGGATGACGATGGAATCTGATTGCTGCAAGTATGTGAAGAAGTGTCATAAATGCCAGATTTATGCGGACAAGATGCACGTCCCACCGACCCTCCTCAATGTCATCTCTTCACCTTGGCCTTTCTCTATGTGGGGCATCGATATGATTGGAATGATTGAACCCAAAGCTTCAAATGGTCATCGTTTCATTTTGGTAGCGATCGATTATTTTACTAAATGGGTGGAAGCAGAATCTTATGCTAATGTAACCAGACAGGTGGTAGTAAGATTTATCAAGAATCAGATCATTTGTCGATACGGTATCCCGAGCAAGATCATCAATGATAATGGTTCGATTTTGAATAACAAGATGATGAGAGAGCTTTGTGAAGAGTTCAAGATCGAACATCATAATTCTTCTCCTTACAGACCGAAGATGAATGGCGCTGTTGAAGCTGCTAACAAGAACATCAAGAAGTTTGTCCAGAAGATGGTGGTAACTTATAAAGATTGGCATGAAATGCTTCCGTTTGCTTTACACGGATACCGTACTTCAGTTCGAACTTCAACAGGCGCAACCCCATTTTCCTTAGTTTATGGTATGGAAGTTGTACTCCCCGTGGAGGTTGAGATTCCGTCTCTGAGAGTGTTGATGGAAGCTAAACTTTCTGAGGCCGAATGGTGTCAAAGTAGATATGATCAGTTGAATTTAATCGAATAAAAGAGATTGACGGTGTTGTGTCACGGTCAATTATATCAGCAGAGAATGAAGAAGGCTTTTGATAAGAAGGTTCGACCACGCGAGTTCAGAGAAGGTGACCTTGTTCTCAAGAAGATATTATCTTTCCAACCTGATTCTAGGGGCAAGTGGGCTCCAAATTATGAAGGACCGTATGTCGTTAAGAAAGTTTTCTCTGGAGGTGCCATGATTCTCACCAATATGGACGGTGAAGAACTCCTGCGTCCCTTGAACACCGATGCAGTCACGAAGTATTTCGCTTAGGCAGGCTTTTGGTCAGACCAGTCTTGGCATTTGAGCACATTTTGGAATTCGAAGTTGTTAGGGAGAATAGCGATCATTGTTTTTTGTGTAACCTTTTTATTTCATGTACTATTTCCCAAACTTTTGTAAACCGTTGGACTCGCATTGTTAGCAAACTACCATTTATTAATGAAATTTGAGCATTTACCTTTTGGGGGCAAAATTTTAATTTTTTCGGAAATATTTGAAACAAAGTTATTTAAAGTATTCTTATTTAAAAAAAAATGTGTCGTGAATAATGGAAGGAATATTAACAGTTGTTCCGAGGATGGTCAGGCCATGAAATGCTAAACAGTACAGTAATTTATGATGAGCTTGTTTTCTTTTGAAATCATCATGAGGTGTTATTTGTGTAAGCTCGTGTTTCTGGTGGTACTAAGTTTGGTGACTCCCCAAGTGTACCAGTTAAGATTTGTTTCAGTTAGCTTTATTTGGGAGATTTCGGAGGTATGATGCGTTTTGTTTCTTGCCAGTGGTCTTTTGGTTTTGTAAGATTGGTTTTGAGTACTTTTCTCCTCAGAAGACTTGAGCTTTGTGGCGTGTTACGCTCCGACGTTGCTTTGTGTTTCCAGTTCCAGTTATCTTCCGTCTTTTTAAGATTGGCCGAGTATCTATCTTGTCGCGACATCTTATCGTCTCCAGGATATTCCATCTGTTCTTTTTGTCAGCATAACATTCATTTATTCATTCCCACTTATGTCACGCATACATATTTACATTTGCCATCGATTTTGGTTTGTACTTTGTCTATTCAAATAACGTACATGTTTCTTTCCAAGTAGAAGGTGAGCTTAGGCAGAAAATGTGCTTCCTTGCTAAATTCGCCAACTGAGCTAATCCTCATGGATGATTTTTGATTTAGCTCACCTTGTCCATTTCTGGATAGGATGAATTCCCCAATCGAGTTGCTTTCTCATTGGGTGGAGTCTTGTTTGACTGTTTTTTCTCTTTAGTTATTCCTGGATGAAGTTGTTGTCTCTTGCATAGGCTATCTCATGATTTTTCCCAGTGAAATCGCGACCTAGACAGATGGTGCATTTATTTTGCACAGTTATATGTGATATCCTTGGGAATGGACTGATTCATGATTCTCTTTGACGAAGATTTTATTCTCTTCCGGTGTCATCGCAACTTCTTTCTGAGTTACTCTTCGGAAAACGACAAGCGGCAGCTCTTCACGAGCAACTTGTACGTATATTATCATCGTTGGAAAATGACAAGCGGCAGCTCTTCACGAGCAACTTGTGTGTTGTTATTATTGGAAGACGACAAGCGGCAGCTCTTCATGAGCAACTTGTACGTCATAGACATCGTCGGAAAACGACAAGCGGCAGCTCTTCACGAGTAACTTGTGCGTTATTATTATTTTTGGAAAACGACAAGCGGCGGCTCTTCACGAGCAACTTGTACGTCATTTTATCTTGTGGAAAACGACAAGCGGCAGCTCTTCATGAGCAACTTGTGCATTAGTATTTTTGGAAAACAGCAAGTGGCAGCCTCTTTATTTGAGAAGCTTGTATGTTATCGGTATTTTCTTTGGACGACAGCAAGTGGCAGCCTCTTTATTTGAGCAGCTTGTACGTTATCGGTATTTTCTTTGGACGATAGCAAGTGGCAGCCTCTTTATTTGAGCAGCTTGTATGTTATTGGTATTTTCTTTGGACGACAGCAAGTGGCAGCCTCTTTATTTGAGCAGCTTGTACATTATTGGTATTTTCTTTGGACGACAGCAAGTGGCAGCCTCTTTATTTGAGCAGCTTGCGTATCTACAACCATATTATCTCAGCATTAATGAGTATATCTCGGGAAATCTCGCAGAGAAGCTTGTCATGAATCATTACCTTCAGAAGTCGGTAATCCATTATCAGCAAAATTGATACATTTTTCGTCTATCTTTGACCTTGAGTTGCGAACTCACTGTTATTTTGGGTCAATAACCTGTTTTTATGGCCTATGCAAGATGCCTTCTTTGTTAGGGTCAGAGGTCGTATTCTCTCAAATTTTTTATTCGCTGTCAAGAGTCTATTATTTGAAATCGATGGCTCATTCCCCCAGTAGTGTATAATCTATGTTCCTGTGATTTGTTGGTGTTTGGCTTCTCCAGCATTACCTTGTCTCATACAATATCATTCTCTGTGAATTTAAATACTACATTCATATCACAAACATAATGGCGGTATCTTAGGGCAAAAATTGCGTATTATGTATTTAAGTACCTTCAATCTCGTCGAGACGAAGATTTTAATCTTCATATCTCCGGATAGAAGAAACTTAAATAGGGGCAGCTGTCATACCCCAATTTTTGACCTAAGATCCCACCTCTCATCTGTGTCATTACATAGCAAGCGTTCACAAGCAATTCGACCTATTTTGCCACTTCTCGGGTCAGATTTCAAAAATTCATAACTTCTTCGAATTTCGACATTTTTGAGAGGTTGTTTTTGCGCATGATTTTCCTTGACATCATCCACAACTTTTCTTTATAAATCAAGGGAAAATTATGCATTAAAAAGCCATGAAAAATTGTTGACGTTAAAAGTTGTTTTGTGAATTTGGTGAAATTTGGGTTCGACTGTGTTTTATTCATGATTTCTTTTCCATTAAAAAATTGCAAAAGACGCACTTAACATGTGTTATTATTTTTATTTATTTATTTATAATTTTTTTATTTTTTTTATTTTTCTTTATTCAAAATATAAAAAATATGGTCTTTTATTAATTCTATTTAAATTTATATGTTTATATCACTTTATTTGAAAAATCTAAAAAAAAATATGTGATTAGCGTCATCTTTATTTTAGTTGTATTTTACATCCAGAAAATCTCAAAGAAAAAAAACATATAGTTAATACCATTTTCTTTTATTTACATTTTATTTCTTTAGTCATTATAATTTTAGTTCCTTTTTAATTTTGATTTAGTTCTAATATTAATTGAATTTCTTAAATTGAATTATTATTATTACTAAACACTTTTTTGTTTGTGTCTCTTATTTTAATTTTTTTTGTACTTTTAGTTTAGTTGTCACTAACAATCTCTTTTTTTGGTTAATTATTATTACTATTTTTTTCTTGTTGTTAATTTTTGTTCTATCCAAATTTGCTTCAACTCTTGCCAAATCTTCCCACAAACCTGTTACTGTCATACTGCAAAATCTGTACCATAATACATCCAAGAAACTTACATGAGAATGGTTTTTTTCAAAAAAAAGAATAAAGCAAAAAGTCATACTATATTTCCTCTATCTATAGAATAAACTTCAACCTCAGTCCAAAAACCACAACGGTAATAACTCCTTTGAATTTCTTCACAAACCTTCTAACTCCCATATTATCCCTCTCTTCACATTCACACACATTGCCAACCACCATCACCGTTCAGCACCCATAAACATACATACTCCCTTTTCGTTCATCATTTTTGTTCTGGACATAACCCATCACCTTCGGTAACAAAACACTCCAAAAATTAGCAACAATCTTCCTCCAAGCTTAAACTTTGTCCATAGTTACAGAAGCAAATAACAACAAACACAACATCAACACCGATGCCGTAACCTGCATAATATACAAACCAATAATACCATAAACGAAAGCAAAACAAAGAGCAGCAACTTATCTTTCAGATCGACACCTCTTAGAAGTCTCAGAGTCGGTATTTTCCTTAACTTTTGTCATTTATACTCGCTGCCATATATGTCTGTTTGTTGTTCAGAACTTTCGATTTGATCTTGATTTCTACCTTAGCCTTTGCTTTCATCTTTGTCAAGTTTTTTTTGATGTCTTTGTACATCCGCGAGAGAGAATATTACCGAGTAGTTCTCAGATGAGAACTGAGACAGGATGCTGTTAATATTATGGTATAAAAAAAACTAACCAAGAGTCATAATCACAGAGGAAATAACATATAACGAAAACAGTAGAAAACACACCATCAATTTCATAGAAAATGCAAATAATTCACTTTCATTCATCCATCACCCAAAAACATGTTGTTACGACGTCTTCTCCTCCGCTCTATCCGTTCATCCACCGTACCTCCCATTTCCATCACCGCACGGTCCTTCGCTTTTTTTTTTCTCCGCCGAAGAGGCCGCCGCTGGACGCCGTTGTTGTAAGCGAAGACTTCGCATCGAGGCCTCCGCCGCCTCTACTTTCGAGATCCAACGGCAGCTTGTTAAGGCTGCTCTCGCGGTTGATTCATCTGGCGGCGTTCGCTCCTCTTACTCTCCGGTTTCTCCCTCATCTGCCGTCTTCCAAGTGATAGTTGGTGGTGCTGTAATTGTTGGAAGTGGTGCTGCTGCAGCAAGGAATAATAGAATAGAAAGAGGAAGGTGACGTCGATACTGAGAGAGAGAGTATCGCTACAGTTTCTTAATATTTGTTCCATTTTCCCATTTAATCTACTCTATTGAAAATGATATAATAGTAATAATAAATCTGTTTTTTCCCTCTTCATTTCCAAGCGGCGGCGGCTTATTTCAAGTTGTACTAGGGTTTCTTTTTTTCCCTCCTAGTCCATAACCCGTTTGGCCCATTGGGCCCTTTTGGCTTAGCTTTTTCTAGTTCCTTTCCTTTTAATTTATTTGAGTTGTAGATATAACAGAAAGTGTTAACAGTTTAATTGGCAAGGCATATTACCAGCAAGCTAAGTGTCATGGGTTCAAATCTTGGTTGGGTCACTTATCTATCTTTTATTTCTTTTGGCCATATTATTTAATATACTTAGTTAATTATTAATCTACTTTGCTGTAAAATTATTAATTAGTATAAAAAAAACACATAAAAACATTTAATTAAAATTTCACCTATATTTAATTTTGAAACATACTTTTTTCTTCTATTATATTTTTGTGTTGTTGCTTATTTAATTATTCAAAAATACATGTTTCATGATTTAATTTTTGTCATGTGTTTAATTATCAAAAAAATCTATATTTTCTTAATTTAATCTTCATGTACTTTTTTATTATTTATTTAATTTTTAAGATGCACGCTAGTATGATTTAAATTTCATTAGTTAATTGTTTAATTATAATTTTAATTAATTGATCGTTAATCCGTATATCTCTCGTCCGTTTCAATCCAAGGGAATTGTTTTTTTGTCGACTTCATGTCATCAAAAAAAACATCGTGCGAATAGTTTCATTTCAATAAAACTTAAGACAATTTTTTCTCAAATATCCAATCTTTTCAAAACTTATACCTTTTAAGCAAAAACTTCGACATTAGGTCGTCGTATCTTCAAAAACCCGTCTGTACCCCTTTTTCGGCCAAAACAATTTATTTTTCAATCAAACGAACCATTTTAATAAACAGATATTTCAAAAGGTTCCTATAGAGTACTATAGATATATTGGGTGCTAGTACCTTCCCACTATATAATCAACCCCCGAACCATAGATCTCTTTTCAAAAACGCCTTGTATTTTTATTACTTTTAAAAGTATTATTTACATTGCATATTTAGGGTTTTATTTCGCTCTTTCCCCTTTTCCCTTGGAAACAATAAAGCGCGGTGGCGACTCTTGTTTTTGTGAGACGAATTAATCAATAATTTGATCTCTGATTTACCCCGCTACATTTTTTATCGCTACACCTTCCAGCAAGGTCTCTCCACTTTTGAGCATATTCTTTAAATCCTTCACCCGTCCCCAGTGACATACCCTGGAGTTGGGTACGCGTAGGAGCGAGGTCGGAATTGTATTGATATTGCTTGTAAAAGGCAGCAGCAAGGTCCTCCCAGTTGCGGATGTTGGCTACTTCCAACTGATAGAACCACTCGAGTTGAGTCCCTGACAGACTGTCCTGAAAGAAGTGAATCCACAAATTCTTGTCTGCCGTGTAGGGCTGGATCTTCCTTACGTATGAATGGAGGTGCAACTTAGGACAGGAAGCTCCGTCATATTTGGCAAAGGCAGGCGCCTTGAACTTATATGGGATCACCACCACAGAGGATAGACCTAGATCTTCGAAGTCCAGGCCGGGCACTTTCTGTATCTCCATAGCACTTAACCGGTCTTCGAGCTGTTTGTACTTATCCTCAGCAGGAGGATACTGTTCATCATTGAAATCTGTATCATTGTCGGAGACCACGGGACTAGGAACCCTTCTCTCTTGTGGACTGTCTTTGCCTACAGATGAGGTAGTCAGCTCAGCCTCATTCTGTAGTCCATTCCCAGATCTGCGTCTAGTGTTGAACAAAACGGTCCTCTTCTTCTTCTTCTTTTCTTTCAGAATCAGAGTTTTCAAGTCCTGTTGACCCTGGGCTAGGCTCATAACCAACTCCTGGAACTGGGCATTCTGGGCCTGGAGGGCCTTGATAGCTTGTTCAGTAGCAGGCTCAGAAGACGTGATGATTGCTGAAATAAACAGCGAAGAAGATAAGTGACATGTAATGGTACTTGTAATGCAATGATATGTATGTAAATGTATGCAATGTTTTCAAGGATCTCGCGGGGTAAACAAGGAAATTGTTAGAATTTGAATTCTGTAGCTTGATTGAAGGAACTTCATGTTATTGAGAGTCCTTCTTCAAGAGTCAGGCTCACCATATCGAGTGGGTCATAGCCCCTGACCCAAGTTATCGTGCTTGGATTTCTAGACAACCTTGGCTAGAGGAAAATAAATCCCCTTTGCCCCTTGCTAGACTTTTGGTTCATTATGACCTGCACCACAAACTCTTGAGATCCTTGAAATGGATTAGTCCTTATGCAGGATGTATGCAGGTTAGTCCTTATGCAGGATGCATGCAATGGTATGATGGTATGATGTTATGATAAGCACACCACAAGTATTCACAAAGGCAAACATGGTAAGGCACACAAGTCACACAAGACAACCCTTAGAGTTTAGGCCAGCATGAAGTTTAGGTACTACCCTCTTTCAATTTCGTTGGTTAAGACCTGTCCTAGAATATAGTAACTGGGTTCTAGAGGGTCTCAATATCACTGACTACCCTCAATCCTTCATAACTCCAGCGTCGCAATCTTTTCTTGCGGCCAGAACCATCGCGAGAGTTTAGCCTCAATGAGTGTAGCATACTGATACTGTTCTATGGCCAAGTTGGGTCAATTTAGGGTTCTAAGGTCGGTTGATGCTTAATGACTCCTCAGAAGACCCATATTCCCCTCGTTGCAACACAAGGGATATCGGTATAAACCAAGGTGTCACACCAACATAGCCACTGCTTCACCCGTGTCGGTCTACGCCGGACAGATCCCTCACAGCTTATGCTACCTAAAGGGTATTCCTCAGATCCGGGTTAGGATCTATGAAACTCCGATGCAAGCCCATAAATATAAAAGCAATCAAGGCACGCAATTGAAAACATAAGAGTGGTCTAATCCTAAGGTACACCTCACTTATTAAATATCCCCAGCAGATTCGCCAGTTCTGTGATCGGTGGAAATAGAACTGACTGTTTTAAAGTTGGTTCGCGAAATGTCGCGGTAAGCAAGAGTCACCACCGTCTTTTATGTTCTCCAACAAGGAAAGGACAAAAGCACAACAAAATTCCTTTTCGAGATGTTTCTCGGTTCGGGAGGTAGATTTATAGAAAGGGAAGGTGTTAGCACCCTTTCTATCAGTGGTTATCCACGGGCTCTTAGGTACTTGCTCACTATGTTTTCAAAAATTGTTTGCTTTTCTTGTGTTTGTGGGTTTTGAAAAAGTTTGTTTTGAAAACTTCTAGGTAACTCTTGTATCAGTCCTCAAGAGTGTATGAAGTGTTTGTTTGAAAACTTTTTGAAAGTGTAAGTGCGAAAAGTTTGTTTTTGTTTTTTGAAAGAGCAAGTACCCAGGAGAAATCTACCTACTCTAAGGAATTAGGTTGTGTAAGAGTCCTTTAGACAGTACTATCCCACTATTGACAAGTAGGTAGCACCGTCGTTGGAGTTATTCGGGTCAATTCGATTATTAGGGACATGTGTGGTCACCAAAGCAAGAGTAGGACGCCTTAGCGGTAACCCTAATGTCCTAGATCCTTTTTTATCCGAGGCAACCGTTTCGAGGCAACTGGATCTTTAGACAGGAGGGCGACCTCTAAAACACCCTATACTTGATGATCACCTCGAGGCAACCAAGTGAGGCGTACCCTAGGAGTGGCATGTGCACGTGTGTCAGGATTCATGTTAAATTGTCTTTGCATGCATCATTGTGAGCTACGGGTTGATTTTATTTTTCATACAAGTCTTGTCATGCATAACTAACAGTAAATAATTTGCGGGAAATAAATTGCGGAAAGTGAATCTACGCTATTACAAGACGTCGGGTATTTACATCGCCAAAAACATAACCTTTGAAAATAAATTGCGGGAAGTAAAGAAAGCGGTAAAATCCTAATTATCTATTACATTCTCGGAGCAGATACATAAATATAATCAAAATAATGAATTAAAATAAATATGCGCGTGAAAGAATTGAATCGGGACGTCCTTAGGGTTTTGACCCTTTTTGAGAAAAGAAAGAAATTTGGTGTTCTTTGCATTTAATTAAATATTAAACCTAATAACTAATTAATGAATTAATTAAAAGAAAAAGTATTTTTTATGTTTTTTATGCTTTTGATGAAAATAAAAAGAAAATGAAATTAAAAGTCAAGAAAACCCTAATTCTAAATTTATTTTATATTTGTGAGAAAAAAGGTCAAAGTTAACCTAATTAATAAAAAGACTAAATTAATTAATTTACATTTATTTACAAAATAATAATTAAAGGTGAAAATAATAAATAATAAAAATAAATAATATTTACATTTTAATGGTCTGAATTTATTATGAAAATTAATATTAATTATGTTAGTTAAATAAATAATAATAATAATGGTTAGAAATTAGTAAAAGAAAAATAAAAGAAAAATATTTAACCAGGGGGGTGTTGGGCCCATAGGAGGTGAATTTGGCAATTCTGGCCCATTGATGTGCAAGCCTGTTTTGACTTTCCAGAATTAGCTGCGCGTGCATTGACCAGGTAGCACCATAGTCTTTCATCCTTGGCCTTCAGATCTGCTTTGCCAGCCTCTTGGCATGATGAAGCGTGAGGTGCATGATAGAATGCTCTTGGAAGCCTTGCATGTGAACCTATTGAAAAAAATAGGAACAAAGGTTTGGGGGACCTGGGAATCGAACCCAGGTCCCAATGGTTGCATGCCAGCACCTCTTCCACTAGGCCAACTGAACGCGTTTGTTAATAGAATAAACAACAAACATAATATATCAAGAATAATAATTATGCTGGAAATTATAAAAAGCGTGTGCTCGTTTGAACGCCCCAATCACAACTCAACACGTATTGTCTTCTTCATCGATTCCCTGTAAAAGATAATTAAATAGCGGGGGT